AGCCACCGTGAAGTTAGCTCGCCCATTTTGAATTTTTAAAAAAGACATACGGAAATGTAAACAAACGATGAAAATAGTTAAACAAACGTAAACAAACGATAAACAAACGATGTGCATACAAATAATATTAATATGAACAATGGGACGGCACTTCACAGACGTGTCGGAACTTATTCAGCGCGCGGCGCGTTTGTTCGTTCGGTGGCATTTTGCTTTCAAGGGAATACGCACCTTTACAGACAGTTTTATTTTAAATCTTACAAAATATATTTAAATTAACAAAAATGCCCACAATCATGTCTTGGGCATTGAAAATAAGCTCTTGGTCTTGTCCCAACCAATCTTGCCTGCATTGAATAACGATTTTGACATTTTTGATCAAAATCCAATGTGGTCTTCTAGAAAAAATAATTTCACATCTTTGAATCACACACACGCGGTTATCAAATATGAACGTGATGTTACTCTTCAGCAATCAAGATAATGCTTTGCAACTCCAAAATTCATGTGTAAAGAATAATTTTGGGTACATTTTGCTCTAAATTTTGACCTAACCACAGAGAAGAGTGATTTGTTACAAGTCTATGCTTACTGCATATAATACTGGGGAACAGTAATTTTGCGGCATGGCAGATCGAAGTCAATTTTGTATCAGACTAGTGTGCTGAATACTGGAAAAATATCAGATTTGTAAAATTGGCTCCAGTTTTTGAGATAAAAACTATTAACTATTTAAATCAAAAATTTTAGTAAAAATACCAATTTGCACTGAAAAAATACTTTTATTAAGTTGATCTTTAGGAATGAAACAAAAACAAATATATCTATGCAGTTCACTGACGAAAGTTCAAAAAAATCACAAAAAACTTTTTCTGTAGGCTTTTCTGCCATGGTTCTGATCAAGACAATCCCTTACTAAGGTCCAGCAGTAGTCTGCCATCATGTGGCGGTCCCATCGACCTTGGTATCTTTCTTCCATGACCCTAATGTCCTAGTGGAACCGTTCTCCTTGTTCCTCGTTTTAATCGCCCACATTATCCGGGAATCTATCTAAATGACAATGCAAAAAGTGCAC